GACTGCATCCCATTTACAAAGTGCAGAATGATTTACACATGCGCAGTAGGAAACTGGCTGTGAAGCTGCAAGGTTTCACTGCCGATTTCCCTTAGTCAAGATGGAGGCGCTGGATGCCTGGTCAGATGCCCTCTTCTTTAACTGCTTCTCCCGCTCCCCCCCCGCCCTATAGCAGATATACTGCTACAGGGCAGCAGAGGTGCACAAAATCACATATATATATACGTGATTTTGCATTTCCGGGTAGGGGACGTGCTCCCTAACCACGCCACTATTCGTGGCCTCGGCTGTCAATCACCGGGTCCCGGCCGGTGATTACTCTCCGACACCTGGTGATCACCGATGGGGAGAGAACTGTATGTAAAGAGTACAGTTCTCTCCCCTGTCAGCTGCTGCACACTGCCTTGTACGGCTCTGCATAACAGAGCTATACAAAGCAGTGTGCTTACAGTTGAAAGCACTAACACAGCCCACAGTAAAACAGCACACGGTTAACCCTTTGATCACACATGTTAACCCCTTCCTGCCCAGTGCCATTAGTACAGTGTCAGTGCTTTTTATTAGCACTGATCACTGTATTGGTGTCACTGGGGATGTCAGTGACACCAAGTCAGTTCCCCCCAGTGTCAGAATGCTCTCCACAGTCCCGCTGTAAGTCACTGATTGCTGTCATTACTAGTAAAAAAAAAATCCAATATATATATTGCTATTTGTAAATGCTATAACTTTTAAGTAAACCAATTAATTTCAACGTATTGGGATTTTAAAATGTTTTTTACTGGACATGTTTAATAGCAAAAAGTCAAAAATGTTTTTTTCTCAAAATTGTGGGTCTTTTTTTGATAGAACAAAAAATAAAAAACGCACAGGCGATCAAATATCACGGAAAGAAAGTTCAATTTGTGTGAAAAAAAGGGCGTAAATTTAATTTGGGTGCAGCGTTGCACGACCTCGCAATTGTCAGTTAAAGTAATGCAAAAAATGGCCTGGTCGGGATGGGGGGTAAATCCTCTGGAGGGCAAGTGGTTAAAGTTCCAAATCCTGGTAGAGGTGACTTTGGAGGACGCCTGAGCTCATCTCTAGTCCAGGTTCACACCTAAGCATTTTGCAGAAATGTACAGCAGTCCATTTAACATGATTTCCTATGGGACAGGTTCACATCTCTGCATTTTCACCCGGTGCGGGTTTTGGAAAGGGTCAGGGACTTTTTTAAATGAAAATGTTGCGTTTATGGTTCTATAGACTTCAATGGAGACGCTGCAGAAAAGCATGTAGTGCGTTTTTGACGCTTTTGATGTGTTTTAATCTGCCCAGCAACAAGTTGGGAAAAAAAAAATGCGCCAAAAACGTATGTGCAAAAATGCAAAATGCACTGAAAAAAGCACTGCAAAAACAGATCAAACGCACACTGTATAAGGCTAGGTTCACACCTATGCAGTGTGCACTTGATATGTTTCTGTTCTTTTTGCAATGCGTTTTTGATGCATTTTTATTTTTTTTTTGGCCAACTTGTTGCTGGGCAGATTCAAAATGTAAAATGCATCAAAAACGCATGCAAAACATAGCACTTGTGGTTTACTGGGGTTGCATTGAAGTCTATTAGACTAAAATGCAAACCGCTGCGGGAAAAGAAGTCCCTGAGGGCCACTTCACACTACATGTGTTTCAGTTGCTTTTCTTCTGCATGGAAAACGCACAGAAAGTAGGTTATACAGTTGTCAATGTCATAGTTCACATCAGTGCTTGCAGTTCCAGTGCGTTCCGGTTGCAGAAAAAAAAAGTAGAATAGGCCGCATTTGTCCTGCACAGAACTGTACTGGAACGCAGTAAAACGCATTAAAATTGTAATGGAACGCACATGTCCTTATTTAAACTGAAGAAAAAGAGGGGGGAAAAAAATTTACCAGAATGCATCAAAAGGCACTAGAACGTGTCAAAAACACATAAAAAACATACTGTAACGCACCAAAAACGCGCATGCATTTCTATAGCGTGAATCGCCTCTGACCCTTTCCAAAAAGGGGGAAAAAAACGGGGGGGGGGAAATGAACCAGAATGCATCAAAAACGCACTGGAACATGTCAAAAACACATAAAAAAGGTATTGGAATGCACAAAAAAACATGCATGCGTTTCTATCAGGGTGGATAAAAATCAATGATTTTTTTTAAAAAAATCGGATTTTTTTTATTTAAATCGGATTTTTTTTATTTAAAATCGGATTTTTTTTAAATAAAATGCTTTTTGAGGAAAATATATTACCATCCAAAGGTCATTCCATCATGAAATAAAGATTAGTTTTTTTAATTATGTAGACTAAGGCTGTATATGTTTAATTTTTTTGGTAAATAAATTCCATGAATCCATTCACAATGTCATGCTCTTCCAGAGGTTTTTGTAAGATTATTGGGCAGTTTCTCTGCCTACAAGATATTATCACAGATTTGGTTTACTTTTGCAGTTCTCAAAACTGAATTGGACTCAGCGGAGATCACATGCCTCTTCTTCACAGCAAAAATGTTATAACATGAACAGAGTTAAGAAAAAGACCTTCATCCTAACTTCTACAAACCTATGAATATAGAATCAACCCCTTCAGTGCTAAATTTCAAGAAGTTCAGTGAATAGAATAGAAACAATATTTTTCTGATTGTTTGGAGTGGAATAGATCTGCACAAGAAGAAAGTGAAACCAAGTGTGAGGAGGAAGGGGCTGGCAGTCTAAGTTTCTTAAAATATATATATTATGTTTAGCCAAATTAGTTACCAAACATGGATATTTGTTTAAGCAAATCACATATGCTGTAATGTTATTGTTTCAGTTGAATAAATCTATTTAAATTGTTATTATTAAGGGAATGATTATTTTTCTCCTTCCTAAGTACAACAGAAAAGTTGTCCAAATATGAATGATTAACCTATTAAACTGGGGATAAAAAAACTAATATGAAAAGTTGTTATTCTAAAAATCTTCATCTACTTGCATATTAAAGTTATACCAGCAAGAATTAGTCTTTATGTAGAAAACTAGGATTTAAATCAGCCTTACTGACTAGTGATTTAAATCAAATCCACCCTGGTTTCTATCGTGTGAACCGGCCCTGACCCTTTTAAAAAAATGAGCCCACATAAATGTGAACGTGATCCATAGGAAATCATGATAACTGGCATGCACTGCGTTCCTGCACAACGCATAAAAAAAATGCACAGGCGTGCTCCTGGCCTTAGGCCCCATTTGCACCAGTGGGCTCTGGCAATGGTGAACATTCCCAAAAGCGAGCCACGACGCGTATCGTGATTGAGGTGCCTATACTTTTGCCCAGAAAAGGTGCCGGAACTACTGAAGCACGTTGGTCATCCGCCCTATGCTGTCGTGGGGAAAAAACGCACAGGCGTGAGTGGGGCCTAATTATGGGGATGAGCAGCAGAACTCATCTTTTCACTGACATCCACATGTATTTGAAGAACTCCTTCTAGTACGGAGGTCATTGTATATGGACCAGAGGCTTCATGCACACGGGACGTTTTGTTAACGCTGGTAACGTTAGCTGTGTAAAGTCGTTTTGTAGCATTTTTGCATTAGCGTTTAGCTGCGTTTTGCTGCAATTAGCAGTGTTTTCCTAAATTTTTTTGCGGTTTTTTTGACCATGAAAAAAAATTTTTTCATTCAAAAAAGTCCAAAAACGCTGGCTTGTTTTTTAACGCTTTTTTTTGCATTTGTATTTTTTTATGAAAAACAAATTTTTTGGGGGTCAAAAAAAGTTCAAAAATGCCGGTGAGCTGTGATTTACTGCGTTTTGCAACATTAGAGAATTTTGAGCCCTCATGTACACGGGACGATTTGATAACGCTGGTATCATTAGCTGTGTAAAGTCACGTTAAAAACTTTTTCAGCTTTTCTTTTGCGTTTTTGCATTAGAATTTAGCGACATTTTGCCGCAATTAGTGGCGTTTTTCCCGTGTTTGTTTTTAGTTGTTTTTTAGCATTTGACTCCAAAACTTTTTTTGGGGGGTAAAAAAAACGTCCAGAAACACCTCTTTTCAGCATTTTACCATTTTTTTCGCACTTGCTTTTTTTTTAAACGAACAAAAATTGGGGGGGGGTAAAAAAAGTACAAAAGTGCCGGCGAGCTGCGATTTACCGCATTTTGCTGCGTTTTTCAGCGTTAGAGCATTTTAAGCCCTCGTGCATGCTGTACGTTTTGATAACGCTGGTACCGTTAGCTGTGTAAAGTCACGTTACAAACGTGAGTTTTTCAGCTTTTTTTTTTTAGCGTTTTTGCATTAGAATTGAGGCGTTTTGACGCAATTAGCGTAGTTTTCCATGTTGTTTTTTAAGAGTTTTTAACTTTTTTTTTGGTCAAAAAATTGTTGATAAACACTGGCTTGCTGTGTTTTGCCACGTTTTTCTGCGTTAGAGCGTTTTTACAGCTCTAGAAACTCATTAGTCCTGGGTTTTTTTTCCAGGCAAAAAACGTTGATTACAGTCTATGTGTGCATGGGCACATAGGATAACATGCTGGGGGGTTTACTGGCTGTCAAAAGTCAAAAACAGCAGCTGTAAAAATGTCCAGTGTGCGTGAGGCCCTGTTACCAATCACTGGATGAACCTCACCATCATCATCCTTCTCCTCTCATTTATTCTATTTCTGCAACAACTGCCAAGAAACATGCCATGGCATACATGGCTTCCAAGTTCAGAGAGCACAAGGCACCACAACCCCAGGAAGCAGCTGCAAAGACGAGGCAATATGACGTTAAACATGCTCCTGCTGTCTACTGGCCGAAAAAAAAACGCACAGAAACGCTTCTAAATCGCTTGTGAGTGGCTGCTCCCGTGTGGAAGCTAGCTCTGTGCTCTGATTGGCCAAATGCCTTGACTAGACACGCCCCCCGCTCTGCCTATTCTACGCTCATTATGTTACTAGGCAGCGGCGAGCCCCCTCCCACTCTCCATAGTTACGGTATTAGCGGAGGTGGCAGCCGCCATCTTGTTGGAGAAATGAGCGGGTCGAACCGAGAAGCAGCGAAAGAAGAGCGTAAGAAGGCAGGGGGCGGGGTGATCAACCGGCTGAAGGCTCGGCGCGTGCACGGGAGGGAGGACGGTGACGGGGAGCTCCGGGGAGTGGTCGCGGTCACCGAGCAGGAGTTGGTAGGCCTGAAGGAGCTGAGACCGGAGCATGTCCTAGGCCTGAGCCGGGTCACAGAGAGTGAGTTGCTGCCAGTAGACCTGTCACCGGCCTGGCCCAGGCTCTGTCACTGACCTTTCTTTGTGTCATCAGATTATCTGTGCAGACCTGAGGATAATGTATTCGGCATTGACTTCACCCGCTTCAAGATCCGGGACCTGGAGACTGGCACTGTGCTCTTCGAGATCTCCAAGCCTTGCTCAGGTACCTGTACAATGGGCTCCTTTGTTGGGCCAGGGTTCGGCCTCGTTCACACGGACATACATACAGTAGATCTAGAGGAAAAGCTTTTTTTTAGTTTTGGATAGAGCAAGGGGCAGTTAGAAGCTCTGTCAGATTTGTTTTATTTTTATTGCCATCTGTGTCCTATTGTGGAGATTTCCCTTCACTTCCTGTCCCATAGCCAAACGTGAGAGGAAATCCCTGCAAATGAACTGCTTCCCAACCACCCTATAGGAGAAGTACTGCTACAGGGCAGCAGGAATGCGCGAAATCACGTGTGTGTATATATACATGTTTTGCATTTCCGGGTTGGGGGGGCGTGCTCCCTACCTGCACTGCTTTTGGCTCTTCGGCATGTTAATCACCGGGTCCCGGCTGCCGATTCTCAGCCCTGACTTGGTGATCATCAGTGGAGCTGACGGGAGAGGTCTGTATGTAAACAATGCAGATCTCTCCCCTGTCAGCATGAACAGGCACTCTGCACAGCAGAGCAGGGTGGATTTAACCACTTGCCCTCCTCAGGATATACCCCTCTTTTCTGACCAGGCCATTTTGTGCGTTATGGCGCTGCTTTTACTTTAACTGACGGTTAGTCCTGCGCCGGGTGAAAATGAAAAGATGTGAGTCTGTCCCATAGGAAATCATGTTAAATGGACTGCTGTAGATTTCTGCAAAATGCTTAGGTGTGAACATAGAGATGAGCTCAGGCGTCCTCCAAAGTCACCTCTACCAGGATTTGGAACTTTAACCACTTGCCCTTCAGAGAATTTGGCCCCCTTCCTGACCTGGCCATTATTTGCGTATACTTTAATTGACTATTGCGCAGTCTTGCAGCGCTGCACCCAAATTAAATTTATGTCCTTTTATGTTTTCACACAAATTGAACTTTCTTTTAGTGATATTTGATCGCCTGTGCGGTTTTTATTTTTTGCACTATGACAAAAAAAGGACTGACAATTTTGAGAAAAAAAAACAATTTTTTTTGACTTTTTGCTGTCAAGCCCTTGCCTACCGGGCACTTATACCCCCTTCCTTACCAGGCCAATTTTCAGCTTTCAGCGCTGTTGCACTTTGAATAACAATTGCGTGGTCATACAACACTGTATCCATATGAAATTTTAATAATTTTTTTTCTCACAAATAGAGCTTTCTTTTGGTGATATTGAATTGCCGCTGGGTGTTCTACTTTTTGCGCTATAAACATAAAATAGCAAAAAATTTGAAAAAAAAGTTTCTTTGTTTATATTATAAAATTTTGCAAAACAGGTAATTCTTCTCCTTCACTGATGTGCATTGATGAGGCTGCACTGATAGGCGGCACTAATGAGGTGGCATGGATAGGCGGCACTGATAGGTGGAACTGATAGGCGGCACTGATGATGGGTACTGATAGGCGGCACTGACTGGCTGCACTGATGGGCACAGGTGGGTGGCACTGATGGGCACAGGTGGGTGGCACTGATGGGCACAGGTGGGTGGCACTGGTGGGTGGCACTGCTGGGCACTGATCATCAGCGCACTGATCATCAGTGCCCTGATGATCGGTGCCGATCCCTGCTCTGACAGCGTGAGGAAAGTGCAGCCGAGAACCGGCAATTGCATTTCCCTGTGACATTGGACACGGCTGATCACGTGGTAAAAAGCCGCTGTGATTGGCCTTTTACCACATCACGTGATCAGCTGTGTCCGTAGGACAAAGTGAACATGGAGATCGCCGGGTGCGCGCCCCCGGGGGACGCGCTGGAGAGCGCGTTCTGGGAGGATGTCATATGACGCCCTCCCTGAACTGGCCGGCTGAAGTGTAGCTGCCATTCGGCTATCTGCGGTCGGCAACTAGTTAAACATGTCTAGTAAAAAAAATCCCAATACATGTAATTTAATTGGTTTACGTGAAAGTTATACTGGGATTTAAAAAAAAAAAAATATATTTTTTTTTTTTTTTACTAGTAATGGTGGCAATCAGTGACTTATTGCGGGACTGCGGCAGACATTTTGACACGGGGGGGGGGACTGACTTGGTGTCACTGACATCCCTAGTGACGCCAATAAAAAAAAAAAGCACTGACACTGTACTAATGGCACTGAGTAGGAAGGGGTTAACATCAGGGTCAATCAGATGGTTATCTGTGTGCTGGGAGTGTTTTACTAGGGGGCTGTGTCAGTGTGCTTCACTGTAATCACACTGTGCACAGCCATCCAAAGCAGTGTGCCCGAGCTGATGGAGGAAAACTGTTAGGAAACAAAACAGTTCTCCTCTCCGTAGGAGATCCTCGGAAATCACCGGGCGCAGGCGAGTAATCACCAGCTGGTACCCGGTGATAGACAGCCGCGGCCATGAATGGCGGAGCAGGTAGGGCATGCACACCCCCTACCTGGAAATGCAAAATTGTTGTGTGTGTGTGCATGTATGTATGTATATGTGTGTGTGTGTGTATGTATGTATGTGTGTGTGTGTATATATATATATATATATATATATATATATATATGATTTTGAGCACCCTTGCCGCCCTGTAGCAGTATAAATCACTAGTAAAAAGGCTAGATTTAATAATTTCATAATTTTTAAAGAGCAACTGTCATCTCTGTCCCACAGCGGTTCCTCCTCTGACCCGCTGTTGACTCACCGACAGTCCCATTCACTTTAATGGTGATGCGGCAGTGACACAACAAGGTGAGGGACATGTCGGCAGCAGGTGAGTGGATGCCCGCTAACAGGCGCTGCTGTGATGGATGTAAAGTGACAGGTGCTCTTTAAATGTAAGGAATCCAACTCATTCTTACTGGTAGTTAGAATTTTTAATTTTTGCAAACCAATTGAAGGTTTCCTTTTTAGAATAATAAGCTGTTAGGTTAGTAAAACAGCGACATCAGAACCGATTTTAGGTTAATAACACATAGTTGGAGAACTACTCAAATTCTTTTATGTCATGTTTTTTTTCTCATGGTTACTGTCAAATTGTGTGAATGCATCAATGCAGTGCATGTTATCTGAGCTTGCAGAGCTTCATTCATTCATTGAATGAGCTTACCGAAAATGTAAATATTACAGAATATACAGCCTCATGCTACATAACTAAGCTCCTTTTCATGCTGAATAAACTCAATTATTAATGTATCTTAAATAGAAAACTATCTTTAGGTAGATTATTACTCCAAAAGCATTTTGTAAATTTGATAAAAATAAAGAAATCCGATTTCAATAAAAATAAAAAAATCATCGATTTTTTTTTTTTTTTTTTTTTTTTTTTTTTTTTTTTTTTATATCCACCCTGAGAGCAGTACAAAGCAGCATGTTTCCCTAGTAAAACACACACAATACACAGCTATCCCTTTGATTGCCCCAGATGTTAACCCCTTCCTGTCCAGTGTCAGTACAGTGACAGTGCTTTTTATTAGCACTGATCACTGTATTAGTGTCACTGGGGATTTCAGTGGCTGTTAGTTCCTCCCAGTGTCAGAATGTGTGCCGCAGTCCCGCTAAAAGTTGCTGATTACCACCATTACTAGTAAATAAAAAAAAAAATAAAAATTCCAGTGTACCAGTGTGTATATATACTGCCATTTGTAAACGCTATAAATTTCAAATAAATCAATTAATTTATACGTATTGGGATTTTTTTTCAAGCAAACACATGTAGTAGAATACATTTTGACCAACGTTTGAAGAAATTTTATTTTTAACATTTTTTTTTTACTGGGTATGTTTTATAGCAAAAAGTCAAAAATTTTGTTTGGTTTTTTTTTTGTTTTTTTTTCAAAATTGTCAGCCTTTTTTTTTGCTTATAGCGCAAAAAATAAAAACCGCAGAAGTGATCAAATACCACGAAACAAAGCTCTATTTGTGGGGAAAAATGGACATAAATTTCATTTATGTACAGCGTTGTGTGATCGCGCAAATTTCAAGTCAAAGTAACGCAGCGCCGTATCGCAAAAAAATGGCCTGGTCAGGAAGGGGGGGTAAATCCTGTGGAGGGCAAGTGGTTAAAGTGTTACTAAACCCAGGACCCTGCTTTCACTCTATCTGGTCTCCCACAGTACACAGAACATGGAAATGCAATTATTTTAGTAAATATAAACTGCTAAATACCTTTTCTCATCAGCAGTTAGAGCAATCTTGTGACTTCTATCAGTATCCAACAGAACACTGGTTAGAACTTGTAGGAGGAGTTTTTTTTCTGCTCTAGGAGGATGCAGAACCCCTGACCTCTGCCTAGACAGTGCTGATTGGCTCTGTGCTGATCACATGCACTCTCCCAAGAAAAAAAGCATCTCTAGCAATACACACCAAACTGGGCATGTGCAGAGTGACTGCACAGGATATGTCTTATCAGGAGATAAGAGGGGGGCACTGGAAGAAGGGGAGGATCAGAGAAGTCAGGATAAGACAGCCTTTTTACACAATGCAGAGGATTAACCTCTTAGGTTCCACAGAGTATTACAAGCATGTTTTACTGCATATACAGAATGATTTTACTATTGTGAGTTTGGTAACACCTTAAGGAAATCCATTGCGGCCCCCCAGGTCACCAGAACTGGTGTCCTCTCCATTACTTATGTGGGGAGAAACCAAAATTTGTGATTTTCTTTCACTTTTAAGTGATAATGGTAAACAGGACAAATCGAGAAGATGAATCTCCCTAAAAGAGGCTCAGACGTCAATAAAAACACGACAGGGGGTCTAATACCTTTCTACTGTATCTAAAACTAAAAAAAAAAAGTTTTTCTTTTAGTTACACTTGAGCTCCAGTGATGTCGCTGGAGCTCCAGTGTAACTAAAGACAAAACTTTTTTCGTTTTAGAGTAGAAATTGATTAAACCCCCTGTCATGTTTTTATTGATGTCTGTGCTGCTTTTATGGAGATTCGCTCCCTCTATTTTAGTTTGAGTAGTTCTACTGGGATGATGCCTGCTGCTGCAGGCATCCCAATACCAGTTTTTAGAGCAGACGGTTGGCGATCTTGTAATAGCAATCGTAGCGGCTAACCAGCCGCTCGATTGCTATTACAAGCAGCAGCAGGGGAGGTTACACCATCCCCCATTCCGCCACCTTCCACGGCTTTACTGGGATCTCTTGTCCTGTCAGGATTCCCAATCAACCAGGCGGTGGCTGATCACAGAGCTGAACTAAGACCAGATCAGCTTTGTTTGGCTCTATGATATAGTAACCCGGAAGCAATGACCTTACATCGCTTCCGGGTTTACTCAGATATAAACAGCGCCATTTTTAAAAAAGAAAAGCATTTAACCTTACTGATCTTGGTGTGATTAAATGCTTTTAAAGTGACACTAAAGCTTTGTTTTTTTTGTTTTTTTTTATTCTTTTAAAATAACACAAACATGTCTATACTTACCTGCTCTGTGCAGTGGTTATGCACAGAGCAGCCCCAATCCTCTTCTTTTTGGGTCCCTGCCTGCGCTCTTGACTCCTCCCACTTGAACAGCACCCCCAGGGCAAGTTGCTTGCCTTGGGGGCACTGCTGCTTGCTTGTCCCCGAGCCACTGCTCTATGCGTCCGTAAGACACAGAGCTGCAGCTCAGCCCTGCCCCCAATGGAATCCTGCTGCTGTCTTTTCCACTGAGGAGGAAGAGTCCCCAGACAGCAGAGGCTGTCGAGAATGTCGCTGGATCGGAGAAGCTCAGGTAAGGATTGGAGGGGGCCTCTGCACACAGAAGGTTTTTTTACCTTCATGCGTAGAATATATGACGGTAAAAACCCTTGAACCTTTAGAACCACTTTAAGGGCAGAGGAGGGATTTGGGGTCCTATTGACCCCACATCTCTGTATACACAGTACCTGTCACATGGGATGTTTACATTCATTTTGACAGCAATAAAAAATTGAGCAAAAAAAGTTTTTTTTTTCTTTTCTTCAAAGTGACAGTGTAAAAATAAATAAAAATGTAAAACGCCCCTGTCCCCCCATGGTTGCATGCAAACATCAAGTGGTTAAGGGCCAATTCGCTGTGCTGTGTGTTTGTGGTACATTGCGCTACCAATGAACTCTTAGAACGTGCAGTTTGATGAAAACACCGAGGTCCTGCATGCTGTACAGTCCTCAAAACACGCGTTCTCTTATGCAGGCCATAGATGGGCAGAAAAACGGCAGATTTTTCTTTTAAAAAACGAAAATTCGGTCGTTCAAGTGGCCGACGTTGCCATCAATGGTAAAAAAAATCGGCCGAATTTTCATCCCTTCTACAGCCAGCAAAAAGTGTCCCTGAAGAGAGCTCTGCTATTTCTGACAGTTCCTTGACATTTACAGCGGTTGAAACATTGTATCTATTTATTTCCATTTAGGATACAGATGTTTTTATTCGGAAACAAATAGATACAATGTTTCAACCGCTGTAAATGTCAAGGAACTGTCAGAGAACTGTCAGAAATAGCGGAGCTCTCTTCAGAGACACTTTTTGCTGGACTGGAATTATTCTTATTTTCATCCTACTTCTTCTTCATCCTCATCCTCTTCTTCTTCTTCATCCTCATCCTCTTCTTCATCCTCATCTTCTTCATCCTCATCCTCTTCTTCTTCATCCTCATCCTCTTCTTCTTCTTTTTCATCCTCATCCTCTTCTTCATCCTCATCCTCTTCTTCTTCTTTTTCATCCTCATCCTCTTCTTCATCCTCACCCTTCTTCTTCTTCATCATCATCATCCTCTTCTTCTTCATCCTCGTCCTCTTCATCCTCATCCTCTTCTTCATCCTCTTCTTCTTCCTCCTTCTTCTTCATCCCTCATCTCTTCTTCTTCTTCTTCATCCTCATCCTCATCTTCTTCCTCATCCTCATCCTCTTCTTCTTCTTCTTCTTCATCATCATCCTTCTTCTTCTTCTTCATCCTCCTCCTCCTCCTCTTCTTCTTCTTCTTCTTCTTCTTCTTCTTCTTCTTCTTCTTCTTCTTCTTCTTCATCCTCATCCTCTTCTTCATCCTCATCCTCTTCTTCATCCTCATCCTCTTCTTCATCCTCATCATCCTCATCCTCTTCTTCTTCTTCATCCTCTTCTTCTTCTTCATCCTCTTCTTCTTCTTCATCCTCTTCTTCTTCTTCATCCTCTTCTTCTTCTTCTTCTTCCTCATCCTCATCCTCTTCTTCCTCATCCTCTTCCTCTTCTTCTTCATCCTCATCCTCATCCTCTTCTTCTTCATCCTCATCCTCATCCTCTTCTTCTTCATCCTCATCCTCTTCTTCTTCATCCTCTTCTTCATCCTCTTCTTCATCCTCTTCCTCTTCTTCTTTTTCTTTCTTTTTGTCTTCCTCTTGCAGGTCACTGCTCATGCGCAGTTTTTTTTTTATCGGTAAAAAATCGGCCGATTCGCCCACTAATTGCCGCGAAAATCGGCCGATCGGCAAATTCGGCGATTTTTTTCCAACTTTACCGAAAAAAAAAACCGGCCAAAATACCGAAAATCGGCCGACCAAATCGCCCACTAACGATCCGAAAATCGGCCGATTTTATTTTCGGCCGAAAAATCGGCCGATTTTCGACCCATCTATGGCCTGCACTAGGTAGTAGTGTACTTAAAAACAAATGAACAACGCGGTATGCTAAAAACGTACCCCACAGATGTGAACTGGCTCTAAGTGTACATCCATGCAAGGGCTGTGTTTTGCCTGCTGTGCATCCATGGGCAGGCAGTCCTATTCACATCATTAGGCATGCAACGGTGCTACATGGACACAGCTGCTGCTCCCAATTTGACATCCGTGCTGGTGCATGTCCCCTAACGCACACAGTCTGTCGTTGTTTGGGGGAATGCACCTGCATCCAAACAGATATCATGGGCTGTGTCCATGCTGCAGGTGCTTCACAATTGATATGAATTGGACTGCCTGCCTGCAGATGTACTGTACACCTGTGCATCTCGTACAGGCAGAACACAGCCCTGTATACTTAGTGTTTGTACACCTAAAAATAAAAAAATCATTGCACTGGCTCTTTAATGTATTTCTATGGGCTTGTTCATAATCCTAATATAATCGCGGCTGATGTTCTTAATTACCTGGTTGATCCTACCTGTGCATCTCCTCCTGATAATAAACTGACCACGCTAAGCACGGCAGCCAAACTGTGCTAGTGTGGTCAGTTTGTCCTCAGTCATCTCACATCATTTAAATACAAGCACGCTGTGCAATTTAACATCTTTTTTATTTTAATTATAAAAGTTTTTGCGTTCTAAAACCCCTTTGAAGCTGCTTCTCCAGTGATGTCCTTTGCCTTTCTGGCCTCATCTTTTCCAACAGACGTTTAGATACCACATTGGTCAGTTTTATAAAATAAAAAAAAAATCCAAATTTTCCGTTTTAAATTTTTATATTTTTGACAACAAATTTCAAAGGAATTATTCACGACACACGTCTTTCGTTGATTGCAATTTATTTTTTCCCAGAAATAAAAATGCTAAGAGCAATTCTGTGCTGCTACGTGCACAGATGGGCTTGTATGGTGCTCATGTTCATGTCACTAATGTTGAAGTCCGCACTGCTCAAATGCATGTGGTTAATCACAGATTGCTGTAAATGCTAGATTTAACCTGCAATGCAAATGCATTTCAATAGGTCCTGCTGTGTCTAAGGACACTTGAAGCAGATAAAACACACTACTATACCATTAAAGTAAATGGGCATCTGGAAATTTGCATTTGACGTGTACTTCAAACATACAAATATAATGCCCTAATCCTGGTCATGTACGTTACCATCCCTACGAATCGGGGGCGGACTGACCATTTGGAAACTTGGGCACTGCCCGAGGGCCCAAGGTCAGTAGGGGGCCCCATGATATGCCCCTGGTACCTTTTTCATAGGCTTTTGTGAGTTTGGACAAGGACACAGGGGCCCCATGATCCCCTATTGCCCGGGGGCCCCATGAGTTGTCAGTCCGCCCCTGCTACGAATACACATAGGCATTTAATAACATAGCAGAAAGGTCAATGATGTACAGCGATCCTTAGTCAGTCCAATGTCTAGCACTGTTTTCTATTTTTTTTTTTTTTTCAACAGAACCTGATGAGGAAGAACCAGATTCTGGGCAGCTAGATAGCAGTGCTGGACGATTTGTACGTTATCAATTCACACCAGCATTTCTAAGGCTTCGCAAGGTTGGTGCCACGTAAGTACTTGAAATAGATTCACTGCAGGTATCACTGTATTGTATGATCTGCTGGTTAGTGACGCCTGTGCAGAATGCTCAGCAAATAACAGGTAGCACTGGCTAAGAGATAATGAAATTGAATAGCTGTTAATAATGGCAGTGTTTCTTATGTATATTGAATAACGTGGGCCATGCAGAAGACACATAAGAGGAAATTAAAAGTGGTGCCTAAACTTTGTGAGGTAGCTCTACGTTTACCATAAGCATTCGTCCTCCCAGTGGAATGGGCCTATAGATTTATTGCTTAGGCTGGAGTATGTCTAGCACAGATGGAAGCATTTGTGCTAGATTTAAGTGGTATATCCAAAAGCAAATATTTTAATTTATTTCAGCTTAGATGTGATGGATGCATTAATTTTCTTTTTTTTTTTTTAAGACTTTCTTCTATATTCACCTGGTGATCCAGCTAGTAAGCCTGTTGTTTTTCAGAAGAACATGCTCTCCAGCATAATATATCAGTTACAGAGATAAGACAAACTATTTAACACTGGCAGGGGAGCTTACAATGATCAGCTTTTATTTATTCATGTAAAACCTTTATCCCAAAAGGAAAAAAAAAAACTGTTGTAACTGCTTATAAAGTCTTACCTGGAGTTTGGCTTCAGTTTGTTAGTGTATTTAAATCTGCTAATACATCTAACACTTCCATGACAGTGCTGCTGTCCAAACGTTCCCTGTGCTCATTCATCTAGAGTAGGGGTCCTCTAATACAGGAGGTGTGTTACTGACCAGAACACAGGGGAAAAAAGACTTAAGAAAAGAAAACAAATACAGCCACCACATTGGTAAGCTACAATATAATACATTTTTGGTTTAATATCACTTTTAGTTTAACCCTTTCACACCTAAGGGTAAAACAAATCTAAATGTCTAAGCACTATTCTGCAACGTTGGCATGTTAGTAAATCTGTACATATCACCACAACTACTTTGTACATCCAGGTGAATTATACTGCGTTTTTCAGGACAAATTGGGCTTTCATTTGGTGGTAAATGGTAATGGATAGCTCCTGATTTTTTGTTATTATCAAAGGAAAACTGGCCCAAAATAGTAAAAAATTTTTTTTTTTTATTTATTTAGCTGTGTGTTTCTTGTTACTGCCATAACCTACCACCAAAGAACAACCCAAAATAAATTCTTCAGCTCTTGACAATCACAGCGATACCATATATGTGTATGTTATTTGTTGTTTGTACCCGTAGTACAGCAGCCCAGAAACAATAGTGCGCATTTTGTTTTTTGTCCCTTTTTTTTTTTTTTTTTTTTTTTTTTTTTTTTTTTTTTTTTTTTTTTTTTTAAATCATGACCTTTGACCCAAACACTAACCCTGGCACTGAACTAGATCTAGGTATTTTTATTTATTTTTTTCTTTTATATTTTAATATTTATCTTTTTCTTCTTTTTTTTTTTTTTTTCTCTCTATGCCAGGAGTTAGGGAGATACAATGTATCTCTTTTCTCCATTCATAGAGAGAGGGAAAAAAAAGCAAGGGGGCCGGGCTGTACAGTGACTGATCACTGTGATTAGCCAATCAGAGGCTATCACAGCGATCATGTGACCTGGAATTGGGAGTCCCGGGTCCTGATCGTTAGAACGGGACCCAGGGCTCTGTGGCACGGCGGTCTTTGTGCTGGGAGCGGCGCGCTCCCAGCACAAAGACAAGTACGCAAATATGCGGCCCCACGGAAAAAAAGCCCAGTTCCGTGAGGCCGCATTTGTGTGACGTCGGCGTCAAGAGGTTAAACTGGTGAGCTGTGGTATATTGGTGTGCATTATTTAGCATTATGTTAAAATCCTACCATAAGATACTCTCCTTTCTTTCTTTTGCTGAGTATAAAAGCTAATGAATGAAATATCATTTTGACATTTTATTAAAGTTAAAAATGCATTGTAATCAGTGGTTCAGCACTGTCTACTTCACAGAATACACCATCGACTGTGTCATAAAGCAGCTGCTGGTGTGGACAGGTCCTAAAACCTTCACTCGTCAATGTTTTTGCTTCCTTAAGCCATTGCTCAAAGATTTCTCTTTTATCAGCTTTCTCATGCGCATTACTGGTTCAGCTCATCACTTACTGTATAACCTGCATCACATAGTGAGGTATTTCTTATCATTTAGTTGATATTAATTATGTGATGAGGGTAGTATTTAAAAAAAAAATAAAATAAACTTAATATATAGTGGTGATTCTTAAAGTGTAAAGTAAACCCTAACAACTATCTTCTCTTATTTGCTCCATTTTGATTTGTTAAATATATATCACTGCAATAATTTTGATCTTATCTGCTTGATAAATGAAGAAATATTTGTTGGTCCTGCCAAAAATGAGGTGAGCTTTTATGACTTGTAGTGATTTGAAAGTGTTAAACTAAAATCTCAAACAATGTTCTCTCTGTAAACAACAGAATATTACCCCCCTATCTTACAGAAATGCGGAGGTGTTCTTTAGTCCTAACACTTTTTGACCTAGGGTGATACCACTGCTCCTCCATAGTTGCAGTACAGTGAGTAATCTGTTGCAACTAACCAGAATGTGTATCATGTTTAGATCAGTAGACCGAGATACAACACCTCCTGTGCTGGGGGACCCAGATCAGTAGAGGACCAATGTAAAGTATGATATATAGAAGTTCCTCCAGGACCGATCAAAGGTTGTACGAAGCTGGGGAAACTTGATATAAACTGTAGTAAAGAACAAAAAACAGCGCACCAACCTTTACCTCCATAAGCAATTAGTAGATTTATTGATATAGGAAATATACTCACAAGAGTAGCAATAAAACAAAACCCAAAACGGAGTCCCAGGGTAAGGAGACACGTGTGAATCCCATCAGGAGGGGAGACTCTCAGGATGAAGCTGACGTGTTTCAAGGGGGGGGTCCCTTCTTTATCAGAGCCAACTAGACTGAGAGAACCCACCTCAATAAATAGTCCACATCTATGTGTGAGCCTTCCCACATGGGCAGAACACACCGCCCATAGGAGGTGGGGCCAGCGTGTCACAATAAACACGTATATAAAGAAATTCACTGTAGATATGTGCATACAGATAAAAACATGCTATAAAGAAGATGACATTCTGTTTGTATACTTGAACAGTAGCTAGTAGATTCATTGATTAGTGAAAACATAACCATTATTCAATATAAAAAAGTGTACGTACACCCAGAGACATAAATGGAACAGTAGTGCCCAGTCAAAGATTATCATCACAATTAAAATTGGATCATAAGAAATTAAGTAGATAAATGACCAAAATACAGCATTACCTTTTTGAAAATTTGAATAAAATCGCAGAATCTCTTGTATAGTGGTATATGTTCTGGTAAAATGGTCTTAGGATGGTCTCCGCAATGACTTTTCTCTATTCACTTTATTTTAAATTAGTCCACTTTTTTAGGAGCCGTTCTAGTGGTATGTGCTAATCAGTATGTCAGATTTCCAAAATGGCAGTGGAAGAAGGAACTTGAACTGCCGAGCTTGTTCAGGTGGCTGTGGAATGAACGCCGGCAACTATCGGCCATGCACGATGCATTCCAGCCGCCATTATGGTGAAGTAAACATCGCAGGGGAAATGGCCAAGTACTGCGCCTGCGCACTGTGCTCTGAATGCCGTTCAGTACCGCTCCTAGGTGGATCCGAGAGGAGAGGGAAAGCTGCAGTTGCGCACAGTCTCATATTATTCAGAACGAGCTGACATTTATGGGGCTGGAGACCACCGAGATCCATGTCTCTGTTAAATTTTCAAAAGAAGAGGGGACATCAAAATAGAGATGTAAATAAAGAAAACCCTGAAAGGGGAGAGGGGGGGGGCACAACATTGACCCTGTGAATCTATAATAAGCAAATTACAAAAGAGAAAAAGGGTCATAAAATGATAATGGTTGAGATTGATCTGTAATACTACCAGATTAATCATGACATTATTAAGTTGAATCAGTGATATGTGTATATTGATATATGAACGATTTGGATCGAACGTTCCGTAAAAGTCATCAGTGCCCTTCTAGGTCCAACGCAAAAGAGGAATAGAATAAAATAGCAATAAAAGTGAGCGCTCTTTAAGGTAAGCAGCTGAACACTCAAGGAAACCAAACAAAACCTTGTCATAAACATATAAAATATTATGTGCAGCGCTAATCAACAAGTTAAAATAAAGTATATGTGAGAAATGTCTCCAATATTAAGAACATAAATGAGTGACAGTCTCTGTATGAAGAATATAGCGTGATATACAGCTTCAATCCAGTGGTGGTGCTCCCAGTGGTAAGGTAAGAATTACGTACTCACCAGAAGCGTAATTTAATTGCGCAGTATGTAAATCAACAGGGATCCACTTCACAGGTATAGGTCCAGATTGGAACTCAGGGTAGGTTCTCCTTCAAGATGATATGGGTATGAGCCCTCAGTGGATGTAGGTAGATCCAGCTGGCCAAAGGTCCCTTTAAGGGATAGGTGGGGAGAGATGCCTGCTTACAGGTGCTTCCCTCTCTGGGTCTGGTGGACTGGTAACTGATCACAGCAGGGCTCTATAAATAATATAGCACCTCAAGGTAGACCAAGGAGAGTGCCCATAGTGTAGTAATTATTGTCAACATTTATTCAGTAGCAAAAGGATTCAATATAAGCAAGTAAAACAATTACAGCAGCGTCGGGTATACAAAAACGACTGACCATCCAGGAACTAAGATGGCCACCGGGCCTCCACGTGGAACCGGCGGCGTGACATCACGACGTTCTAGGCTCCTACTAACGCGTTTCGTGTGCACGCACTTCTTCAGAGGCGGAGAATACCTGTGAAGTGGATCCCTGTTGATTTACATACTGCGGAATTAAATTGCGCTTCTGGTGAGTGCGTAATGCTTACCTTACCACTGCGAGCACCACCATTGGATTGAAGCTGTATATCACGCTATGTTCATCATAGAGACTGTCACTGATTTATGTTCTTATTATTGGGGACATTTCTCACATATACTTTATTTTAATTTGTTAATTTGCGCTGCACATAATTTTATAGAAAAGAGGAATAAATTAAAACAAATTATGAGACAGATATGAAGCAGATATTGGGGATATTTAGAGTATGGACAACCCTTAATCCTGAATTTAGTAAAAATAAATGTAAAAAAGGAGTACAACCATTAGATATATAAAATGCACAAGGTTGGTGCGCTCTGTTTTTTGTTCTTTACTACAATGTATTATGTTTAGGTCAGACCAGTACGGTATGAATGCTGTTACTAACCGGTTCCTGAACTTAAGAATTATCACTTACAAAACTTTATTAAAGCGATTCTAAAGGTTAATTTTTTTTTTTTTTTGGAAAATAACAAACATGTTATACTTACTTACTCTATGCAGTGGTTTTGCACAGAGCAGCCTGGATCTTCCTCTTCTCAGGTCCCTCACCAGCGCACCTGGTTCCTCTCTGTCGGGTGCCCCCATATCAAGCAGCTTGCCATGGGGGCACCTGAGCAGGCATGTTCCCGAGCTGCTGCTCCATGTACACACGTACACACACACGTACACACACACACGTACACACACACACAGTACACACACACACACCTCTTTCTCTTGGCCCCGCTCCCTCTCATTGGCTGACTGGCTGTGATCGACAGCATTGGGAGCCAATGGCTCCCTCTTGCAGTATCTGTCAATGAGGAGGCAGAGACCCGAGACAGCCGAAGTTGTTGTTTTTTTGCTCGATCGTGATGGGGCTCAGGTAAGTATTGAGGGGATTGGGGGCACTGCTGCACACTGGAATGCATGAAGGTAAAAATCCTTGAGCCTTTACAACCATACATAAATTACAGGTAATTTATGTAAAACGTTTATTATAGTAGGAGTGCCATTTTTTTACTAAATTATGTGCTGGGTTTTAAGTAACTGATTAACAATGAGAAACCGACGAACCCTTCTATTTAAAGCCCAGCACTAACTGGAATACATATTCTTGAGAAAGAATGATGCAATCAATGGCCTTGTGAGTAGTTTGTACTACCAGTCTATATTGACATTAAAGATTGACATTTATAAGAAAATTTCTAGAAAAAAATAGAATTGTGGAAGAACATGGGATATGACTTAACCCTTTTATTTCATTTAATATTTTTTTTATTTTACATTGTTTTTAGGGTAGAGTTCACAGTGGGTGATAAGCCCGTGAATAGTTTCCGAATGATTGAGAGACACTTCTTCCGTGATCGGATCCTTAAAACTTTTGACTTTGACTTTGGATTTTGCATTCCAAACAGCTGCAATACCTGTGAACACATGTACGAATTCCCACAACTGTCAGAGGATATAAGTAAGTAATATATATGTGGGGAAAACTAAATGTTGCCAGTATGTTGTGTATATCTGCGTCTAAACCAGTGGTGCTCAAAATGGTGAATATGGATGTTCAGCCCCTGCTATGGATGTTGTGGTGCTATTAATTTTGAATGATATCCAAATGATTTGTTACAGTAGCAGTCAGACCCATACTGCAAAGCACCACAGTGAACATACTGTGCCTTGTGCTGTGTTTTATAAAAAAAAAAAAAAAAAAAACCCTTGAAATTTTCCACATTTTGTCATGTTACAAACAAAAACGTACATAGTAGCTCTCTCACTTTTCCAAGGTCCAAAATGAAATCCTCTCTGCAGCCAGGAATGGGGCATCAATACATCTCTCCAGCTTCCAGAGATCAATTGCACTTACACCAGCAAGGATTCACCGATTTTAGACAAAAATGTTCCTCATAGTGTAATGATTTTAATATAAAAAGATGAGTACATCTCAATAGAAAAACGGTATAAAATGTATGAATATAAATGCCGCTGTACAGAACTTACACAGGGGGCCACCAGACCAATAAGGAATGGCAGCACGACCTCTGGTAATGCACCTCTCCCAATGCCATTTTGCGTGCCTTCAGGGATATATGACTTGAAAATTGCTGTTCACAGACGCTCTGCATCCAATCTGACAGAGCTTACAGGTTCTACAGAGTAGAACACTTTTCACAACTTTTATTTGTAAAAAAATTTGGAAAACCATTTTATCATTTTCCTTCCACTTCACAATTATGTGCCACTTTGTGTTGGTCTATCACATAAAATCCCGATAAAATACATTTACGTTTTCGGTTGTAACATGACAGAATGTGTAAAATTTTAAGGGGCACTGTACTTCATTATGGCAATGCAACACACTGTCATGTGTTCCAGTGTCTTAACGTAGTAATGCATGTTACTTGTGGGATGTAGTTACCACATTGCCTGTTGGGCAGGGATAAGCATTGTTAGTCTTTGAATTCAATCTTTCTGGTATGAAGTCCTCTCTCTCACAACCCGGAGTCAGTGGAATTCAATAATAACTCTTCTTCCATTGTGGGTTGAGATCTGCATGATGATTGCTTCTGATTGGATAATACTATTGTCAGTCAGGAGCCGCCATCAAGCAGAGCACATATCACAATAAAGGAATAGGTGTTGCTGCATAGCACTGTTCTAGCCAGTGAGAGAGAAGAGTTTCAGAGGCAAGAAGTACAGCTGCACACTGCCTCCCAGTGCTCAGATTCCCCAAATGCTGCACAGATCAAATCACAGCTCGCCCACATCTAGAGCTTCTGCCACAGTGAAAACCAGAATCGGGCGCCCCTCCCCACAAACCTGATCTCTTCCTTTGTAAACCAAATGCTGATGGATTGTTCAGCATTGTGTTTACAGTGCTCCGCTTACAGTGTGATCCTGTGGAGTTCTTTGTAGCTGAAGCAGAAACTCAGGAGCTGATAGTTTCCGCTCCTGGGCTTAGTGCCACAAACAGCTAGTGCTAACTGAGCTAAGTCCCACCAGAGCTATTGTCAATCTGAGTGCAGCCTGTTGTGCTTCATACAGGTCTGGGGCACAGCAGGATACATTCTGAGAGCTGCCTAGGTGCTTGGAGCTCATGGGTCATTTGTTTGGCACCATTATTTCTCCCTCAAGCATGCATTTATTTATTATAGGTACTTATATAGCACCATCAATTTACATATTTATTATACATTCACATCAGTCCCTAGCCCTCGTAGAATCTAAGGTCCCTAACTTACATTCATTCATACATACACATACTAGGCACAATTTAGACAGGAGCCAATTCACCTACCAGTATGTCTTTGGAGTGTGGGAGGAAACCGGGGTATCCGGAGGAAACCCACGCAAGCACAGGGAGAACATGCAAACTCCAGGCAGGTGGTGCCATGGTTGGGATTTGAACCAACAACCCTAGTACTGCCAAGCGGAAGTGCTAACCATTTAGCCACTGTGCTGCACAGCTGCTAGGTTGAAGGATAAGTGACTTGGTTTTTAATTTGTTCAGTTTGGATTCACTGAAGGAAGTGTATATCTGGGCAAAATTTAAAAAATATATATGGAACTTTTGCAATATATGTACTTTCCCCATGCTTTACAACCTTTAAAAAGGCTGCATGTACAAAAAGCACATATAGAGCTTTCCAGTAATCTGTTTGAAGTTGCAACTTGCCTGTGCTACACTGAAATCCCAAAAATTGTTGTCAGCCCTGAGTTCTGCACTGATGGACTACAGAACATCCCCCCTCATCTCTAGTGAAAAACTGGGTATGGTTGACATCTGGATTCTGGTATTTTGCTGTACTTGCATCTTTTTAAAGAGGAAAAACATGAGGAAATGTGCATGTATTGCATAGATGTAGTGTGTAATAATCAAAATACAGAGCAAATATATTGTCAAGTATGGCTGTCCATATTTACATTTTTTTAATAATAAAGGGTTTGTATAACATAAAAGTACAACCCGTTACTAACCTGGTAGATTCAAATGAAGGGAAAAGTTCACCTTTGGGAACATGTAAATTGTTCCCACTCCTGCAGTTTCTTCCTCTGAGCATCTAGTGACAGTTAGCAGGCGATCTTCTTCCCTCACTAGCTGTCACTATTTGTTAAAATACGTGGCCGTGTGGGGCTCCGCCCGTCCAGCCGCATCATTCCTTCAGAGTTTCGTGAATGGGAAAATAAATGTCCCGACATCCTTTGCATCTCATTGTCTTCGTTCATTGTCTCTTCCTGTCAGTGTGTATCTTCTTGCCCCTATAAGGTATGAGCAGACAGATACCCTGACAAATCTGCAGGAGTCCTGCATGGCCCCTGCAATCTGTTGATGGTGGGTGTAATGCTTTCCAGGCTCCTAGTGAAAAAATAAATAAATGCACATTTTTCTTTACCTGCAAAAATTTGATTTTTTTTTTTTTTAATTTATTTATTTTTTTAAAGGATGAACATAACCTTTAAACATAAGAGGAAAAATGCTTGAGCAGAAGTTAATTTCAGTGCAAAACCAAATGTCAGAATGATAAGTCTTTTACAGGAAATGTCAACATTTGCTTTCAACCACAGCTGTCTTAATATCATTGAATCTGCATGTGTTTTTTTTTTTTTTTTTTTTTTTTTTTTTTTTTTTTTTTTTACTTGTGGTTTTCTCTGAAGGCAAAACCTCCTTTTTGCATATTGTCATCATATGCATAATTTGTCTGGGTTTATGACCAGCTTGATTTAGGGTTCATTTACCATCAGCACCTGCTGTTTGGATTGTGATAACATCATGCCACTACTGCCAATACTTCATTTTTTGGCAGTGGCAACTCATGTTAGGTGTACAGATAAATGGCACCACACCAACACATGTAATGTGGCGTGTTACTACTGTGCCATGGTGTGAACAAGCCCCTAACCAGCTGCCTACCTTGCACTTTTACCCCCTTCCTGCCCAGGCCAATTTTCAGCATTCAGCACTGTACCCATAAAAAAGTTTTATCTTTTTCACACAAATAGAGCTTATTTTGGTGGTATTTAATCACTACTGGGTGCTTTTATTTTTTGCTAAACAAATTAAAAAAGACTGAAAATTTGGGGGGAAAAAAGTTTTTCTTCGTTTCTATTATACAAATTTGCAAACAGGTAATTTTTCTCTTTCACTGATGTGCGTTGATGAGGCTGCACTGACAAGCATTGATGAGGAGGCACTGATAAGGCTGCACTCATATTCGGCACTGAAGGGCAGTTATAGCCAGTACTGAAGGGCACTGATAGGTGGTCCTGATTGGCAGCGCTGATGGACCCTGATTGGCATTAATTGGCAGCACTGTTGGGGCTGCACTGATAATCTGTGCCCTGATTATCAGTGTAGATGTCTCCTTTCACATTTGCTGGTTATCGGCAGTACTTTCCTCATGCTGGGACAACGAGGAAAGTACTGCCAATAACAGGCAAGTGTGTCCACATCGTGATCAGCTGTGATTGATCACGTGGTAAAGGGCCGCTGTGATTAGCCCTTTACCGTGACATGTGATCAGCTGTGTCCATAGGATACAGCAATCACAGAGAGCGTCAGGGGCACGGTTCGGGGAGGATGTGATATGCCGCTCTCCCAGAACTGGACGATCACGCTGTAGCTGTCATTTTGGCTATAGCGAGGTCAGCAAGTTTTTAAGCTGACAACATTCTTAACTTTTAGAGAGGAGGAGCAGTAAAGAACAAGTATTGTGTAAAATCAACAGGTATTGCACTCATTGAACAGATATAACAAAACTCAATTGGATGTTTAACAAATTAAAAGAGACCAAATTAGGTTTACTTGCACTTTGAGAGTGTTTGAATAGTTTCCCCTATGAACAGAAAGCTCTCTAGAATGGCTAGTCTGCAAATCTCTTTATTTAATACTGTGCTCTATATGGTTATGTTTGTACAATATAACTACTTTTTTATATCTTGTACCTCTTAATATTTTGTATGTATACATTTTTTTGTTTCTACAGTCCGGATGATGATTGATAACCCATATGAAACAAGATCTGATAGCTTTTACTTTGTGGACAACAAGCTTATCATGCATAATAAAGCAGACTATGCCTACAATGGAGGACAATGAGGATCAGTTTCCTCAGACTGAAAACTGACGTTCCCTGACAGGAGCTGAGGGTTGTTGCATCTCTTTGTGGTGGCCAGTCCTTTACTCGACAGATCAAGAAGCAGCGTCTTTTTATAAAAACGCTGTAATTACATATGAAGACTTTGTACAAAGGAAAAAATATTTATTTTTTTGTAATATACACTGATCTTTTGGTCCTGCTATAGCAGTTAAACAGCCTTCGGAGCTTTGAAGAAAGCTAGAATTGCTGATTTGCTGTTACAGTAAATTATATTTTATATCATGAAAGCATCCAGCTATACTTGGCATAAATGGTAACTTGACATGTTCTGTGCAATATAATTTAACTTTTGTCCTTTCCATAGACATTGCACAGCACCAATTGCTATATGTTTACTGTATGGTATTGAGTTAACACCAAGAATACATAAAATGTCCCTTGTCCCTTATAAAAATACATTGTTTGGCCTCATGCACACAGGCTGTTTGGCCCGTACAGTGTGAAAACCAGGCATTTTTGGGTAGCGGCAATGTGCAGTGTACAGCCCCGTCATCAGCCTGTTAAAATCTATGAGAGGCTGAAAAACAGTGCCTGGACACTGATCTGAGTGATAGTTATGTACCGGGCTGCAAGTGTGGGTTGGGGGCATAAGGCCCTCTACACAACTACCCCTCAGAACAGCATACAGTCACTGGGCACCCAAAAACATGTTTTGTTTTTCAGTTGTACAGGCCAACCGCCTATGTGCATAATGAGGCCTTACTTTTAATAATGCAAATTGCCTTTACAAGGGAGTTTCACTAAAATAATCAGATCCTATTCTCCACCAATCTGCTTTTGGCTTCCTGCAATTTTTTTTTTTTAAACCTCAAACTGTGGCAGGTAGTTGTTCTGATGTCACATGGGGTTTGACACCTACTGAAATATTTTATGCCTGATAAGCCATGTTAAATAAAACCTTAACAGTTTGAAATAACAGTAAGGCCTGTTGCACACGAGTAAAAAATGCTCTTTTACAGATTTACAGAGTCTTTTACAGATCTGAAATGAGATGCTTTGTTGTCTGAGACATACTGGCAAGGAAGAAGAATTTTTACTCGTCTATACTCATCCGTACACTTACACACCTTTACTCGCCTGTACTTGACATTACTCAGGTCTTTACACACAGTTTTTGGCCCCTTGCACATGGGCATCAAGTTCCTGAGTAAATATTAGTAAATTATGATGCCCGTGTCCAAGGGACCTAAAAGAGGTGCACTGAAAATGCGGAGATGGCTTGGGAACACATGAGCTGTAAAGTATAGTATCCCTTGAACATACAGTGATGTATAATATTTTTGAGAGATTTCATTTAGATTTGATCTATGTAGTTAGGCATGTTACAGGTCTCTTTGCAATATGATCTGTAATTTGACCTGTTCTGCAAGATGATGCTTGTATGGTCCTATTATTCACTTCCATAGAATGTAAAAGGGGTCAAAACTATGTGTGCAAGGAAATCACAGCAGTTTCCACTATTTATAGTGGAAAATATTGTTTTATTGGAAAATATTTTGTAAGTTGTGCTAAATTGAAATGCACACATTTCTGAAACTCCATCATGAGGTAAATTGACCCCCCCCCCTATATGATAGTAGAGATGTTCAGATACAGTGGGGCACAGGGGCGGACTGACAACTCATGGGGCCCCCGGGCAATAGGGGATCATGGGGCCCCTGTGTCCTTGCCCAAACTCAAAAAAGCCTATGAAAAGGTACCAGGGGCATCTCATGGGGCCCCCTACTGACCCCGGGCCCTTGGGCAGTGCCCGAGTTTCCAAATGATCAGTCCGCCCCTGGTGGGGCATAGAATGACAGGAATGTATGGAGCAAGGTAAGGTGAAGTTACACTCAGTCTGAATTAACAGCAGGTTCTTTTAACAATTTCTAATAGAGTTTCTGTATACTATTTTTGTAACAATTAGTTTTGTTATTAAGGTTGTACTTTGTGTCACAATGGCTTATTGTTACCATTTGTTACCTACTGTTGGATAAAGTGTGCCTATTTTTTCCAAAAAAAGTCATCTTCCAGTGGTAATATATCATCTTAGCGTAATATGGTTTAATTCATCAAGCTTTAAACAAGGATAATGATCATTAAAAATGTATCTGACTCGGAAATCTTTTCAGAGTTGAAAATAATTGTCACTTTTTTTTTTTTTTTTTTATTAAAAAAAAACACCTTATCCTGGAGTTTTAGCTTTAAGAATTTAACCTAAAGTCGTCATAAAGCTTTAAATTAACCTCCTTTTAACTTCCATTAAAGTTACAAGCAATAACTTTGCTACTCAAATGCCAGCTGTGGTGTCCAACCGTAGACTGGAGAATGGGTTAAGGCCAGATCACTTAAATGTCTTCCACTTCCAAAGATTTGTTGGGATTGCTTAAAGTGACCCTGTCATAGGGGGAGGGTCTGAAAGCAAGCCAGGCTGCACAAAGAGAAGCTTTAGGGTGGCTTCACACTGCCCTGCTGCACTTTGGCTTAAGCACAGGTAACCTACGGGTTTTTGTGTGTGTTGTGCTTTCCCATAGACTTGTGTATCTGAAAGCTTACTGAAACAGCAGGACATAATTGAAGTCTATGGGAAAGCGCAGCCATGGGTTAGCTGTTCTTCAGCCAAAGTGCAGAGAGTAGTGTGAAGCTGCCCTTATGCTTGCCTTTTTTTGGCAAGCAGCATGTTAAATCCTCATGGTCTTCTAGAGCTGTGTGCACTGCTGCTATCACTTCTGAGTACATCAGGTCATGTTTGGGCCCTGTGGTGATTTTGGGGTTGCAGGAGGAAATAAACTCCCCGTCCCATCCCCCTACACACACTTAGTGACAGAGTCACGTTAAGATCAGTACATACCCGAGTTTTTGGTAAGTTACTTTGTAGCAAAATAAATAATTCAAATAGTGGTCATACAAGTTAAAACTGTATTATAATAATATGCTGCCTAGTTTGTTTTTGCTGCTAACATTAAAAAGCAGCCTGCCAAGTACATTTTTAAAGTAAACTTTTGCTTTCCATTTACGGTCCACAGAGGACAGGTTTACGTCTGGAAACATATCCTCCACGTGCAAGTGTACTTTGTAATGTGCCATGTTTTCACTAATGAAAACTGACGTGTTGACATTCTTAAAAAAAAAAAAAAATGTTGGTAAAGGGACTTTGGTAGATGCAGGAAAATCTGCTGCTTATCCTGGGATCTACTGGATTTCATTTATAGGGTGTAAATGTGTAGATTTTTTTTTTTTCTTTTAATTATAATTTTGGAACTATTGATTTTTAACTGTTGACATACTGACTGAAAAGTTAGTTCAACTGAATGGTACAACTAAGCAGACTGTACAGCATTTGCAATCGTGTAATGTTTTGTCTTTGTTTACCCATAGACAATGGGCTGTTTATAAGATCTTGTATTTTTCTGTAATAATAAACTTTATAATAAGTGGTTTGTGCTTATCTCTTTTTAGTGTATATTTGTAAGAAGAGGTACAACAATCAACCATTCCAAGGAAGTTGCTTGATTCTTTTACACAGCAGGCTTTATGACTACTTTTTTCTTTAGCTACCAGAGCCTCAATCCTGGCTTTATGGGAGCCAGTGGACATGGGATAGCATTTGGACATGCAGGGATGATCAAAATACCCTCAAGCCAATTTGTATAGGGTGCCTTAGGGCATATGTTATCAGAAGACAGGAAGTGTGGTACTGGCAGGATCACTGGATGAAAAAAAAAAAAACTAATGGAGCCATCACATATAAGGACTGGTAAACTGTAATATATTATTATTATACAGGATTTATATAGCGCCAACAGTTTGCTCAGTGCTTACAATATAATGGGAGACAATACAAGAGGGTTAGGAGGGCCCTGCTCCTTGGAGCTTACAATCTAATTACATTTTGTTTTCAGTTTTAGAAACTTGCACCCTCATCCAAACAACTGTATCTGCAGGTTAATTCCATAATGTGCTAGTATGCACTAAATACTAGTACATTATGACAGACATACCTTTCAAACGGAGACCTGCAGCAAGTAACTGCTGCTTCTGTAGGCGCTTCCATCTGTGCCCAGTCTTCCTTATGGGTTTGTGCTCTCCGATTGTTGAATGGCCAGGCTGCGATTACATCTCTCCTATGCATGCGCAAGGGAGTCCTGATTGTGGTACAGCACGCTCCACTCTGCATTGATGCCACACTTGGTGTTGCTGTGAATATCTCCTAAAAGGTGCACGTTTAGGAGATAATCACTGTACCTACAGTTACGTCTTAATATAAGCGTAACTGTAGCTACAAGTTAAAAATGAGAGTTAACTGCCTCTTTTTAAAACATTACTAAAGTCTATTTTTAAAATTAAAATAACAAACATGTTATTTACCTGCTGTGAGCGATGGTATTGCAGAGTGGCCCTGAACTTCCTCTTCTCGGGTCCCCCACCAGTGTTGTCTGCTCCTCCTTTTCTGTTTCAATGTTTTTTTAGAGGTTATAACAAGCCAAGGTTTGGCCATGCAGGGGCAACATCAAACAGGCTCATGATGTAGAGCAGGCATCACTGGCATTTTAACCTGTGTGTGTGTCACCTTGTGTGTCTCTACCAAGGCCAAACATTCCAGGGTATGTAAACTTTTGATCATGGCCATTTGAGTGATTTCTGTTGTTATGATTTAAAAAGGAGCCAAACAACTGTGTTTTAATAAATGGCTTCATATGATCATCATCCTTCAATAAAAGAGCATTTTTTGGCGTGATTAGTCATATTTTCAATATAAATGCCAAAATTTCACAATTTCTGCACAGGGTATGTAAACTTTAGAGCACAACTGTAAGGTACTAAAGTTTGTTGCCAGTTTACAGGTGCATGCAGTTTTATGGTTTGATGCACTATATTGCCAAAAGTATTGGGACGCCTGCCTTTACACGAACGTGAACATTAATGGCATCCCAGTCTTAGTCTGCAGGGTTCAATATTGAGTTGGCCCACCCTTTGCAGCTAGAACAGCTTATACTCTTCTGGCTCTCCACAAGGTTTAGGAGTGTGTCTATGGGAATGTTTGACCATTCTTCCAGAACATTTTCCAGCACATTTGTGAGGCCAGGCACTGATGTAGGATGAGAAGGCCTGGCTCACAATCTCTGCTCTAATTCATCCCAAAGGTGTTCTATCGGGTTTAGGTCAGGACTCTGTGCAGGCCAGTCAAGTTCTTCCACCCCAAACTCGCTCATCCATGTCTTTATGGACCTTGCTTTGTACACTGGTGTGCAGTCATGTTAGAGCAGGAAGGGGCCATCCCCAAACTGTTCCCACAAAGCTGGGAGCATGAAATTATCCAAAATGTCTTGGTATGTTGACTCCTTACGAGTTCTCTTCACTGGAAATAAAGGGCCAAGCCCAACCCCTGAAAACCAACCCCACACCATAATCCCCCCCTCCACCAAACTTTACACTTTGCACAATGCAGTCAGGCATGTACCATTTTCTGGGCAACCGCTAAACCCAGATATGTCCATCGGATTGCCAGAGATGAGTGATTGGTCACTCTAGAGAACACATCTCCATTGCTCTAGAGTCCAGTGGCAGCGTGCTTTACACCACTGCATCTAATGCTTTGCATTGTACTTGGTGATGTAAGGCTTGGATGAAGCTGCTCGGCCATGGAAACCCATTCCATGAAGCTCTCTATGCACTGTTGTACTAATCTGAAGGCCACATGAAGTTTGGAGGTCTTTAGCTATTGATTCTACAGACGGAGACTTCTGCGCACTGTACGCTTCAGCATGTGCTGACCCCGCTCTGTCATTTTACGTGGCCTACCACTTCATGGCTGAGTTGCTATTGTTCCCAGTTGCTTCCACTTTGTTATAATACCACTAAGAGTTGATTCACACTTGCGCAGTGCAGATTTGAAGGTCCGGTTTCAGTGTGGATTGCAGTCAGCTTGTTCAGTGGTTCAGGGCAGGTTTAGGGCCGGTTCAGGACAGGTTTTTTTGTGACACAGCTGTGGATTGTACTGTTCACAGGTTTATGTCAGGTTTGGATGCGGTTTTGCAAGGCTGGTACAGGATTCTGTGCAAGGAGGGGAGGTGCTGAAGAGGAGGGAGAGCAAACCGTGCTGAAATCTGATCCTGAAGTGAAATCCTGTTCACAAGTCATGACATATGCGGTTTAGGAACAGTTCCCATAGACGTCAATAGCCTGTAATCTGCACCTGCACTGAACCACACTGCTCAGAAATCGGACAGGACTCTATTTCAAACCACACTCAATCCGCACTGCACATATGTGAACAAGCACCATAGGAAGCAATGTTATTTCACATGTCATGCGAAGTAGATTTGGTTCAAAACGCATCCAAACTGCATATTTGTGAACCAGCCCTTACAGTTGACTGTGGAATATTTATTAGCAAGAAAGTTTCACAGATGGACTTATTGCACAGGTGGCAACCTATCACAGTACCACTCTTGAATTTTCTGAGCTCCTGAGAGCGACCCATTCTTTCACAAATGTTTGTAGAAGCAGTCTGCATGTCTAGGTGCTTGATTTTATACATCTGTGCCCATGGAGGTGACTGGAACACCTGAATCCAGTGATTTACCACTCTCTTGGATCCTCCCAAGACCTTCTGCTCTCTAGTTCCCGTGTCACCTCCTCCCATGCTCACCTCCAGGACTTCTCCCGAGCTTCTCCCATCCTATGGAACTCCATACCCCAATCTGTCTGGCTGTCTGCTAATCTATCCACCTTTAGACGATCCCTGAAAACCTTTCTCTTTAAAGAATCCTATCCTACTGCTACCTAGTAAACCACCATTCATTTCCTCCATCAGCTCATCCCCCCCACAGCTATTACCTTTTGTATCACTCAATCCTTCCTCCTAGATTGTAAGCTCTAACGAGCCGGGCCCTCTGTTTCCTCTTGTACCAAACTGTATTGTAACTGGAATGTCTACCTTCATCTTGTAAAGCGCTGCGCAAACTGTTGGCGCTATATAAATCCTGTATAATAATAATTTGGAGGGCTGGCCCAATACTTTTGGCAATATAGTGTATGTTTGGTGTCTATTTGCTGCAACCTCATCTTGTATATTTCACCACAAATTGGGTAATTGTTTGTGTTTGCACTAAAATTAACTGTAGTGTTTTTTTTTTTTTTTTTACTGAAATTTGTGTTTCGTAAACTGTTGCACTAATATTGTGTAACATAAGAAATTGGAACCACAACTAGTTTATTGTCTAGGGTGTCTGCTTTCAGAAAACAATATGTTTGGTGTGTAATCTTCACAACTGAAATGATGTGTGCAAAAAATGCAAAAACGTCTCTAGCAGCAAAACGGGTAATGTCAATGTAGAATTACAGGGGCTAGACAAAACATGGAAACACCACATGATTTGCAGGTGTGAAAGGGATGACAAGTTTTGCATTGAAAGTGGAAGTGATGTAACATTCTTTTGCTTCCACTGTGTGATGAGACACCTAGCTAACAGGTGGGAAGCCTCACTTTCGCCATTCACTGAATAATATGGAGTCAAGTCAGAGCTTACTGAGCTTTAAAGAGGGCAAATTGTTGGTGCCGCCTAACTGGTGCCTCTGTGACTGACGTTGCAAATTTATTTTCCGTGTCTGGAGGTACAGTATCAAAGGTTATGGCGGCATATACAGTTTCCAGGAAAATATCATCTGATAAGCATAAGCGCGGTCGACATGGCCAACTGACTGAAAGAGACAAAAGGACATTGCGCAGGAATGTGACCTGGAATAAGAAAACAACTGCTGCAAAAGTGACTGCAGAGCTCAATCTCAGTCTTCACGGGCCTGAGATTGAGGTCTGCAGCCACTTTTCAGCAGTTTATTCCGGATCACAGTCCTGCTCAATGTCCTTTTGTCTCCTTCAGTCGGTTAACCACTTCTGCAAGTGTAATGCAAAGCGTCAGATGGAGTGGTGTAAAGCACGCCGCCACTGGATTCTAGAGCAGTGGAGACATGTTCTCTGGAGTGACGAATCACACTTCTCTGTCTGGCAATCCTATGGATGTGTCTGCATTTGGCAGTTGCCAGGAGAACAGTACTTGCCTGACTACATTGTGCCAAGTGCAAAGATTGGTGGAGGGGGGATTATGGTGTGGGGTTGTTTTTCAGGGGTTGGGCTTGGCCCCTTAGTTCCAGTGAAGGGAACTCTTAAGTCATCAACATACCAAGACATTTTTGGACAATTTGTGGACAATTTTTGGACAATTTCATGCTCCCAACTCCCGCCCTATAGCAGCACGCGTACGCAAAATCAGGTATATATATGTGATTTTGCATTTCCAGGTAGGGGGCGCATGTGCCCTACCAGCACCGCCATTCACAGTCTCTGCTGTCAATCACTGGGTCCCGACCGGTGATTCCCTGCTGGCACCTGGCGATCTCAGTGTATTACCAATGGGGGAGAGACCTGTGTATAAACAATACAGATCTCTCCCCTGTCAGCTCCAGCACACTGCTTTGTATGGCTCTGCATAGCAGAGCCATACAAAGCAGTGTGCTTACAGTGTAAAGCACACACACAGTGCATAGTAAAACAGCACACAGTTAACTCTTTGATCGCCCCAGTTGTTAACCCCTTCCTGCCCAGTGCCATTAGTACAGTGTCAGTGCTTTTTATTAGCACTGAACACTGTATTGGTGTCACTGGGGATGTCGGTGACACCAAGTCAGTTCCCCCCCAGTGTCAGAATCCCCGCTGCAGTCCTGCTATAAGTTGCTGATCGCCATTACTAGAAAAAATCCAGTATATATACCGCCATTTGTAAAAGCTATAACTTTCACGTAAACCAATTAATTTACATGTGTTGGGATTTTTATTAAGCAAAGACATGTAGCAGAATACATTTTGGCCTAAATTTATTATGAAATTTGATTTTTTAAATTTTTTTATTGGACATGTTTAAGGCTGCTTTCACACTGAAGAATTTTATACGTGTTTTGGCGTTAAAAAAGGCATCTGAAAAGCTGAAGAAAACTGCTTCCCTATGTATGTGAATGTATGTCTATGTATGTTTCCACACTGAGGTGTTGGGGTGTGGTGTAAAAACTCCTGCTTGGAGCATCTTTGAGGCATGATTGGAAATTTAAAAAAAACGCCTTAAAAATGCCTCTTCCCATTGAAATCAATGGTAGCCGCCTAAAAAAATGCTCCAAAAACACTTCAAAAATGCACTGCACAATGCGAAGGCCTGTAAAAAGTCACATGATGTGAAAGGGGGGGAGTGCTAACGCTTGAAAAACGCCTCATGCGTTGTGCTAATTATAATGCAACGCTAGTAATTTTTCAAGCGTTTTTTAGGCGAATTAGTATGAAAGCGGGCTAATAGCAAAAAGTCAAAAATAATGGGTTTTTTTTTAATTTTTGGCCTTTTTTGTTTATAGAAAAAAATTAAAACCACAAAGGCAATCAATTACCACTGTAAGAAAGCTCTATTTGTGGGGAAAAGGACATAACTTTCATTTGGGTGTAGTGTTGCATGACCGCTCAAGTGTCAGTTAAAGTAACACAGCGCTGTAGCACAAAAAATGGCCTGGTCAGGAAGGGGAGTAAATCCTCAGGAGGGCAAATAGGTTCACCATGCCCACCGTGCTTCTACCTATCAGGCAGCATTTCCCTTTTTTTGTATACGCCCGGTAATTGCTGTAGGCGATTTATTACTGAATAAACTGCTGCTGAGCAGAAATATTCCAGCAGATTTATGAAGTAGGCGGAGCCCAGCAGGAAAACACGTGCAATTTGTTTACAACTGGTACGTGATACACGCTGTACGCCTGTGTATGGGGCGGGGCTACTCCGGAACGTCATCTGTAGCGGACTAAGGAGCAGACGTCATCCGGAGTGGCCGTCCTCCCGGTGTGTAGGGATAGAGTGCAGTAGCTATGATCCGTGGGGTAATGATTGTAGGTCGTGCTTGGCGGCCGCTTGATTCAGGTGAGCATGGAGGGAGGCCTGTGACCTTGTGCTGACCGCCGGAGCCCGGCTGACCTGTGTGTTCTATGTTCCCACAGCCGCCCGCTGCCTGCACACTGTCTACCAGAGCGCCGAGCTGCCCGATACACACCGCATGCTGCGGGAGACATGCCGGGAGTTTGCCCAGAGGGAGCTGCAGCCTATAGCCGCCCAGCTGGACAGAGAGCACCGCTACCCCGGGGATCAGGTGTGCTGGAGGCCTGGCAATGTCAGCGCTGCCCCTCCCCCCACTCTGTGCCCTTTCACCTAGTCACAGACCAAGTGCTGGCCTCCTTGTTACAATGTGTTCTGTCATCACTGCAGGCTTGTTAGATTACCAGGAGAGCCAGTCACCATGACCTTCTACCCACTCCTAATTCTTCAGGGTTAAAGTGTTACTAAACCCAGGACCCTGCATTCACTATATCTGGTCTCCCACAGTACACACAACATGGAAGTGCAATTATTTTAGTAAATATGAACTGCTAATTACCTTTTCCCATCAGCAGTATATAGCAGTCTTGTGACTTCTATCAGTGTCCTGCAGAGCACATGTTAAAGCTTGTAGGAGGAGTTTTCATTTTGCTCTAGGAGAATGCAGGACCCCTGATCTCTGTCGGGACAGTGCTGATTGGCCCTGTGCTGATCACATGCAATCTCCGAAGAAGAAAAAAAACCTTTCTAGCAATGCACACCAAACTGAGCATGTGGAGAGTGTCACCAAACCTCTGTCCTATCAGGAGATAAGAGGGGGACACTGGAAGAAGGGGAGGATCAGGAAGTCAGGATCAAACAACATTTTTACACAATGTAGAAGATTAGCTCCTTAGGTTCCACAGTGAGTATAACAAGCATGCTTTACTGCATATTCAGACTGATTTTACTGTTGTGGGTTTAGTAACACGTTAAAGTGATTGCAAACCCTTACCTTGTTAAACCACTCATTCCATTTAAAATAGAAATGAAAGGCAAAACATTTGTGTATAGATCGAAAAATAAATGTTAGAAATACCTTTTCCCCTTCTTTAGAAATTATCACATTCTCAGCCGCATAAGAGCTGGGGGAGGAGAATCAGGACGCTGGTCTTCCCAGTGAATGGCTGTGTGCATGGGAGGGGGTTGGCACAAGGCTAATCATTGGAGGAAAGCAGGCTAAGTTCCCAGCACAGCTAGAGAACTGACCATGCTGTGCATTCCTGCCTAGTGTGGTCAGTTTTAAATAGGAAAGCGGAGGGACAGGCAGGATCACCAGGGATTTCACACACAGGAAGCAATACAAAGAGAACAGGATACAGTTTCATACAAGTAAATGATACAGCAGGCACATATCTGGAATACGAAATGTTGGGTTTACGTATTCTTTTAAAGACATAGTAAACTTTGCTAACAAAGTTTGAGTAAATGGGCCCCTGCAGTGTCATGCCATAATGTGCTAGTATGGATCATGTTTGAACATATAGCAGGCCTAACCTGTCAAGGAGAGCCTTCTGGCAGTCTCCACTCCAGGGACTTCCAACTTCACCCAGTCTTCCTTACGGGTTTGCGCTGTCCAGTCATTTGAATGTCTAGGCGCCATGATGGTGTCACAATTGCGGCACAGCACTCTCTGCATTGAAGATACGCTTGGTGTGCCCTGAATGCAGAGCACACTGCGCATGCACAGTGACTTAATCAGCTCCTGTGAATGTCTATATTCCCTAAACAGTGTAAGTTTAGGAGATACAGTATTTGCTGGACCTACAAGTAAGACTTATTATAGGCTTAGCTGTAGAGCCCACAAAATTGATTCTGGTGCTAACCCTATGTGCATAACTCTATGCACAACAATCATGGTGGGTGTCGTCACAGAAAAATCTCATCCAAACCAAAGAAGACGTGGAAAAAGACACCAACTAGAAGCTACTGAATCAAAAATGTATTAAATGTGAAATATAGAAAAATCCTATCAAATTATAACAAATCATGAAAAAAATCATAATAACCCCCCCCCCCCCCCCAAAAAAAGTTAAAAAGTCACAACACCATGTCCATATCCCCGACCCTCTCCTATTCCCTTGCCGACATGATCCCAAAATAACACAAAATCCCCACTTGATCCCAAGCAAACCCACCCGACCTCCCCTTCTCCATATAAACTAAATGCTAGCAATATATAACAACCTGTATCTAAATGGTATGTGCCCATATATTACTACAATTAGAACAATATCATCTGATTATCATCCACACACACGTTAAGCCACCACATGGGAGATATTAGCAAAACAGGTTAGATAGAACGACAGTATGAATAATAAAATGCCAATGAATGTAAAAACAGATCCTGTATAGCAGAAGAAGATTACCTGTAGGTAGGTATAAGTGAAAAATATAACTTTAAAGTGTTTTTGTGCCTCGTGTAGCTTTACCTACATTGTTGATCAATCGGCAAAATTAAGGCTGTAGATGATCCTTTCACCATTACCCAACACAAAAAAGTCAACGGAAGATATCGGTAGCGGTGAGCTTGGCCGTGTTTGGACTAGGCTCTAAATCCACATGTGTGAGCCCTCCAGGAAGCTGTCACTTGTACGGTGCAGTCATCTGTGGCTGGGGCATTCCCCGCCTCACAGTTGCACATATATTTGCTTCTTGTGTACATGTGGGGCAGGGAATACCGCGGCTGCAGATGATTGGCCTATACAGGTGGCAGCTTCCTGGTACTTCAGCGCAATTTCAAAGCCGCATATCTGTGCGATTTTCACTGCTAATTTAATTGCAGCTTGTGGCGTCATATAACAGAAGTCTATGCAAGTTGCAATTAAGGTGTCCATTTATGAAGCAGCGGTAATAGATCCCTGCTCAGTTCTACGGCATTCTCGGTGAGCACATATCTCCTGTGAATGCCTTTTATGAAGCGGTGTAGATCAGTTCTCCAAACGAAGGGAGAACGCTCTACAAACGCTGGAAAACGGTCTACAAACGCTGGAAAACGGCTGATTTTACTATAATCTCGTGAGATTACAGTAAAAGATCAGTTTACTAAACAGAGGTAAATTATCGCTGCTTAGTTTGCAGTCCCTCCGATTCTCCAGCTCTGGGCTGGAGAATCTGGAGGGAGAACACCAATCTCCGGTGAAGGGCTGAACTTGTTCTCCGCTGATCTCCTGAGTGTCATAAACTGTGAATGACCAGAGAATAGCTGCTATCCTCGGAATCACAGCTATTCTCTGTGTCATAAACGGACACCTAAATCGGCAAAAAGCAGTGCAGGAGCCTTTTTCATAATCGCTGCGACATGAGTGGTTCAATTGCTGGTAATAAGGTGCAACTTGTCTTGTAATGTGGAATTGTTAAATCACATGACTAATCACACCAGTGTGATCCAGGGCTTAAAGCCAGGATCCGAATGACAGCCCTGAAGCGTGTACCTGTTACGGTAAAAACAAATATTTATGAAGCAGCAACTCCCACACTTTTTTTTTATTGGCTCATCTTAAATACCTTACTTGAGCAAATGTCTCCTGTTTTCCATTAGAATTCACAGCAACTCGAATATTCAAAACCACTGGAGAAACTCGGCAGTTGCTTCAGTGCCACCTCTTTGTGGCATTGACATCGTCATTGACCCTCGCAACCTTTTGGATCAGTGATAGGGTAACATTTCAGTTGCCAATTAAATTATGAGGGGCAAAATGATCAGATACATACTGCCTATCTAACCATAGGAGACTTGAATTTGGAAAACCTTGTGGGAACTGAAGTTTGTGAAATTTGAGGTGACAACGGGAGCCCCTTTTAGAGCACCAGATCTCTGTGTGGTCACCAGGTAGCTAGAACCTGTTCATAAGTTGTTTATTTCAGGCCAAGTCATGGTCATTATTTAAGAGGTGCTATTAAATAAAAGACAAAAGTAAGTGCACAAGTCAATAGTTACAGGCATACTGACTTCCTCATCCTTGATTGTGGTGTAATTGCAAGTGCCTGCACCTTAGCAGCCAGCTGTTTAACCCACTTATACCATATAAAATCAGACATATATGTATACAATAATATATCAGCTACTGTATAGTGAATAACATCAAAAATGCAGAACACTAACAGTGCAAAATACATACGTTAAAGATAAATATGAATGATAAGTGTTCATAAAGTCCTCATCGTCTTAAAAGGATAGAAACCATATATTCCCATGCTCCAATAAAGTGTCAGCAGTGCAGTATCCTCATACATAAACACAAATAGTGCTCCCAATGACCACCACTCTGTGCTCAATGCTGCTGCCTACCTCCACGCAATGACCCAATATAAATTGTCTCAGAGACCTCCTTTTCAAAAATCATATGGATAACAACTTTTATCTCACGATCACAAGTAGATCATTCGGTTGGTCCTATTATATGATTAGGGGACAGAATGGAAATATCTCAGTGCAGTAGCCCATTAAAAACAAAGGATGCTCAAAATGTACTCACAGTGCCCAAAGAATTATCGCCTATTCAATCATAACAAAGATTACCCCCTTAGAGAGAAATGTCTGTCTGGCTTCCAGTAGGTAAAATGGCCGATCCCGTACTTCCTGACATCACTACACCATGTCGTGAATACATTTTGCAGCAACTAGGTTGATTTTTTCACTTTCAATACATTTTTATTGAAGAGTTTTCAAGAATACTGCTTGTGCCAGCTTTATAGATAAGAGCATAAGGTCGACAATTTACAAGTCAAAAGCAGTCGATCGTACATTGAATAGAAACATTTTAACAACAAAACGTTCAGTATGTTAAAAGGTGCATTAAATATACTTCAGCAGAGAACCAATATGAATAACAGAAGATGAAAGCAATGTGCCTGTACCAGAGTCTCAGCGTTCATACTGATGTGTGTAAGTGGCTGTTGATATAGAAGGGTGGGCATATTGGATCCACAGGGTCCATATTTTACGAAGGATACTGGAAAGCTTCTCATTAATAAAAAAGAAGTCTTAATCGGTGGCGAACTTCTGTAAAGGGTAGAAACTGTTGTTTCAAAGCTTTTGCTATTGTTTGTTTTGCCACCAGTAGTACATAAGCAGCCAGTTTGAATTGATATTTGGTGAGGACTGGAAGCTTCAAATGCAACAGGACATGCCACGTATCTCTGGGGATGGGGTAGGTTAATAATGATTGTAAAAGTTTAAGGACTTTTGTCTAGAACTGGGAGAGCATAGGGCATGTCCACCATATGTGG